AGATCAACAACAATACAGAGCAACAATCAGCAGTAATTCATTCTAACAATATCTCGTGAATTAATACATTTAAGTGGTTAGACCATGAGGCTACAACTCGTATGACTAGCTATCTTTCACAACATTAATATTTATACGTCACCGCTAGGGGATGCTTGTGTCAGTTTTATAATACAAACATACTCAAAATCAACGTTCTGTAACTAGAAGGTGAGTTAGCGCTTTAATGTGGATAAAATTTCATAATTATACTAAATAATAGGAGGAATAATAAATTAACAGTAAATAAAACCATAACAAAATAAAAGTAAAACCCTCTATCTCAAAACTTCCCAAATAAAAATGAATAACCCGAGTTACACGTTTATTTTTATGATTACTAAATAAAAAATTATAATTTCGCGCAAAGCTTCACGAGGACTGTCTACACTAGCCGTCTCTAATTTAACAGTGACAGACTAGAGGGAAGGTAACTAGTCAACACCACTCATCGCCAACTCTTGGGCTACTCTTTTATTAACGAATAGTGGGATTTATTGTAAAATTATAACGCGCCCACGGCTGAAAGGGCGAGTCGAGCGCTCTAACCACCAGACATTGGCAGATTGTGACCGTGAGTTAAAGTTGTCGAATTTTAAAAATGTTTTAATAACCCGCTTAGATGTTAGATATTTGTTGTTGTTGTTTCTTATTAACCATAAAGCTACACAAAAGGCTATCTGTGCTCTGCTTACCACGGGTATCGAAACCCGATTTCTAGCAGCATAAGTCCGCAGACATACCACTGTGGCACTAGGAAGCAGTTAGATATTTCAAAAAAATAATAAACAAATTTCTCATTATTTTACCAAACTGTCCATAATTCTCAACTTCAAATAGTTGAAATTTTTTGTCGAGGCTGTATTATCCAATTTCGTTAATTCTAAAAAAAAATATTATTTTTTCTAATTATGTTTCTCATTTTCCAAGGGAGCCCCCTGCGGACACCCATGCCTTATGGTGGCCTGAGGGATAACCAGGGGCGCTAAGAATCTTTTGTTTGTTTATAATTAAGCACAAAGCTACACAATTGGCTATCTGTACTCTGCCCACCACAGGTAATGAAACCCGGTTTCTAGCATAGTAAGTGCGCAGACATACCGCTGTGCCACCGGAGATAGAGCGACTATGCCAGGTTAATATGTAGCTTCTGATGACCTGTTGAGAAGAAAATCCTGATGACTTTTGTATTGATTTAATACGGGCGTCTGTGCCATCCCTAATAGAGGGCGCTAGCGCACTCGCCGATAAACTATTATTTTAATGCCTCTTCGTATTTTGTCTCATATTTCGGAAAACGTAACTTAATGATCAAGCAAAACACGAACGTGATAATAGTGTTACGTCTCCGTTTGTTAATTGATTTTCCGTAACTTCGTTCCGACGAAACTTAAGCGACACAAGTCTTTATTTAATAAAACTGGTTTATTCTTTCCGAATACACTCAACTTCAACAATCGCGCTAAAACAAACGCTTATATCA